ACTACCATTTATCAATGGAGAGATGGCACTCGAGTCTTCTGAATGCGTATATGAATGTATACTCGTACGTCTTTCTCTACGTTGGCAGACGAAGATGCATGAACAAGTGAAGTTTAAGAAAGTTTGGTAAATTTTTAAAACTGTGCTGTACTTGTATATGTTAAATAAATTGTTTTGCGGTTTCACCTAGAGAAGCGTTAGATTCCAGGTGCTTTTGAGAAATACTCTTACTACAATTAAATGCATATTTTCATAACTGATTTCTTCAAAGATAGCAAGCTTACAAGATTGGGTTGATTCGGATTGGGGTGAATTCGGGACAAACTTCAGTTCTTGTCGTAATATCAAGAATCTAAAAACTTAAGGTCGTAGTCTGGTAACATGGTTTAGCAAAATCGTGCAACAAAACAACAAATTTAAAACAAAAAATAATAATAATTTTTTTGTACACTCTGAGATACTATTAATTATACGTACATATATAACAATATGAAACTTATTATTTTTCTAAATAAAATATTCCCAAAAAGGCATGAAAAAAATTCAAGTTACCAGACTACTACTCAATTCTCTAAAGTTAAACTCAAAAATAATAAAATCGTTTGGAGGTTTAAAAATGAACTGACGGAGTACAAATTGCTCAAAATTCAGCTGAAATCACAAAACCCAAAAACCATATAATTTCCAAAGTACATACTCATATACATATAAATACATATATATGTAAAAATATATGTTCTTTGTATGTGTTTTTACACACGCATAAGTGATTGGTTTTGAGAAAGCACACAAGCGTAATGTCTCTTCTCCCTCGCGATAATTTCTAGGCGTGTATGCATAATTTAAAGTTGCAGCTGGTACACCTCCATATGTATATATATATAAGCATCCGATGTGCGTGTGAGGTTGCATATATTAATATGTGGCGAATTAGCACGACGAAGACAAAAGAAAATGAGAGACCCGTGAGAATCTTATGCGGCAATAGGGGAAACTGCCAATGAACACTAGCGGCAAGCCAAACACATCAAGCGGAGGGAGTCTGCAGTGACGAGCTATTTAACATACCGCAGTACCATTTTCAGCACTTCTTTTTCAGAGGTTCAGAGGGAACCATGCCAAGGCGAGGGGCGAAGTGATCATATATAGACGAGCACAGCCACAAAAGTCACCGAGTTGTCGGGGAGCTGTCTGCAGTGATATTGGACCAAGTCCGGACAATAGAGCGTTATTTTTCCACATATGCACGCATATATTATTGGAAAAAGCATAATTAAGAATTAAATTATATCTGCAGCTGGTTTTCAGGTTGTGCGCCCTTGTGTATGCAACGGAATTGAGCTAAGAAGAAACGAAGACGCGAACGCAAAAAGTTGTTGAGCTAAAACGCCGAAGTGTTGTTTGTTCTGACATATTTACCCTTCCCCCTCCCTGCTAACCAAACCAGCATTTACTCTCTAAATAGCAAACACTGTGCTTTGGCATTCTCTCCTCCGAAGTAGCCATTAATTTTGTCACTTTCGAAAGTGCTTTGACAGCGTTGGAGCGCTTTAAAATGACTGATGTACATGCGGGCGGGTCGGTGTGTCGGTGGGTGGTTGGGGAAACAAAAACACGGCAGTCGTCTTAAATTGACAAGGGAAGATGGATGAGTGCTGGGAATTAGCATCTTTTAGCTGTGTATGTGATTTGGTGTACATTTTGGCAAGCATACTAAATATTTCACTTCGACAGGTGCTATTAATCGTTGATTATGACGTGTCATAGACGTTATCGATAATCCGTAAAAGTTTAAGTTCTCGCTGAAATGCAGACGTGAAAAGTTCGCATGCATGGGGATTACAAATATATATAAATTTTGGAATCTCCTAAATAGTTATTTTGCATGTTCTTTTACGAAACTGCCTCAGAGGTGAAAGTGATAAACTGAGTAAAAATTGAGTTATTTTGCAGAAGCAAACTGATCTGCCTCGGCACTCTGAGGCAGTTAGATTTGCAAATACGAGGGTTTAGATCCGCAGTATGTAGATACAAATAAACGCAACTCTAGAAAAAAGTTACCGTTGTTTCAAGCAAGAACTCCATAACATACTGAAAAATCTGAAAAATTCGTAATGGTGCCACCAGTCTTTGTATTTTGAAAAGATGTATAATGGAAATTTTTGCTGATATCAAAAAGTGGCTTCGATGATTGTTGCCCGAAACAAAATATTTTCCGGCACGGCCCTATGTATATTTTAAGTTAGACGCCTAGCTTCGTGCTTTAATTTCATGGTGAAACAAATATCAGCACTGCCTATTTAACCTCTCTTGCTCTATTAATGAACCCATAAAATAAAATAAATTTTTTTGCAAAATTAAGATTAATTTAAGTAGATATACTAACCAGTATGAAATATGATCGTGATATCCTGAAATTTACGGAAATTACATTTTAATAGTATAATTCCAAGTAAATCATAATAATAATAAATTAATAAAAATTGCCATAAATTAAATATAATACATACATACATATGTATATACACACAACCACATATGCTAGTATATTTATAGAGAAATATACTCTGGTTTCATGATATTAGTGAATTTGAGAAAAGAGCCAATAATAGCATGTAAGCGACTGGACATTTAGGTTGAAGATACTGATATTTGGAGTTCTCGAATCTTCTTTCATATTAGCTATTCCGTCTAATACCCATTAATTTCTATAAAAGTTCGATAATTGTGCTGAGTATTGAGATAAATATGTATATTCCCAACCGAAAATGACACAACACCAAAGGCCTTCGAAACTTGTCCGTCCTAAATACAAATACAAACATATTTACATATGTATGCATATTCGCTATAATGCAACTAGATATGTGTGTTCCGATGAAAATCAATTAAAACAACATTGCAAAGCCAGAGCCTAATGGCTGGATCGATTTAACAGCAATAATCAGGCGCTTTCTGGCGACCAACAATTAAATTAGGTGCAGCCAAACTTTCGATTAGAGTGCCACGCAGCAAACCTGCAACGAATTAACTAATTTACTGATGAAATCCATTAAAGCGCGCCAAGCTGCACCTCACACGGGCAAACGAACACAGCGACAGTGGTGGCAACAAACATAACCTCATTAACGTTACAATTAAATTACCGGTTAATGTATCGCCACCGCAGACCGCACAGACGGCACAACAATCGCGGGTACGACGCTACAAAGGGTACGGCGAAGCGCTAGCAAACCAGACACCAACAAGCCATTTAATTGTCCGCTGCCAAATGGAGCATGCAGACAATCAACAGTGTATGTAGAGCGAAAAAATCGCAGTAAAATGAAGTGAAGTAGCACAGCGTCGCGTAGATGGCGGTGGCGCTAGTGGTGGATAGATGGTGGCTTCTCCGCGAGGCACAGAATACTTGGCGAATGCATATTGGCGCATCTGCAGACCACAAAAGTGCACAATGAGAAATGAAACTGCTGCCACAACGATGCGCTCACTCCAGCAGCCTCCTGCGTATGTGTGTGTGTGCAAGTGTCGCGCCAACAGTGGCTGCAATGAAATCACGAAGGCGCTCAAGGAGATATGCGCGCGTGTGGTGCAAAGTGTCGAGCAAAACCAAAACCGCACATGGCCAATACGACTATGGCCATTACACTGAAAAATAAAGGAAACTCGCCAGCAAGTTGCAAGCATACCTTGCGTCAGTGGCTGCGGGTGCGTGTGTGGGTGCGGACATAGGTACGAGTATTGCTGTAGCGCACTTCGAATGCTTGGCTGCCCAGTTACAGTCGTTAAGTAACCGACCGCACAATGGAATTTCACACCAACACCAACGCTTCTCCACGGCCATCGCCACACCATGCTCCGCGCTCTCGCTCGTTCTGCTAACGGCTGCAATTTAATTGCACTCAATTTACACAATAACAGAAGAAGCGTCGCAACAACAGAACTTTATGAGCTGACAACATGGGCGACAATAGCGGCAGCGGCCGCAGCTGCAACGGCAACAAACAGCAAACAAACTTCCTCCTGCAACTTCCTGCGGTATGGGACTCCGGGAATTGTTTAACACATTTTCACTTCCGCCTGCAGCTGCGATTCCACCCGTACGATGTGTGTGCGTCTGTCTGTGTGCGGCGAATGCGTGTCAGCTTTAAAGCTCTACTCATAGTGGGCGTGTCAACTCCGCGGTGAAATTTGCCACATAGTGCGGAAGGAGGGGGAGCGAACATTGTTCAAGTGGAAATAATTTTTTATCGCTTACTCAAAACACTCGTTTACCGGCTTTTGGAATTTGTTGAAATGCAAGCGGACAGTGGGTTAGTTTCACAACAAATGGATAATGCAATCATGCCAAAACCAAACAAGCTGACAATTTTTTATTAAATTCTTTTAGTTATTTCTAAAAGTGTCGCTTAAATTTGTGAGACCAGACCCTTTGTTCGTTGCATTGTTGGTTTTGTTGTAAGGGTTAGCTATTCCCCGCTTGGGTGATAAGTTATAGTTTGGTTGTCGTCGAGGTCATCTAACGGAAGGCCCGGGAAACGAGCTGTTTAGAAGGGGTCGAATCATAGGGAAATGGCTGTTAGATGAGTGGGGTGTTCGTTGCATTCTTGAACTATTAAATTTAGAGGATTTAACAGTAATAAATTGTGACATTTGTGTTTTAATGGCATTTTATTATTTTATAAGCGATATAAAGACAATATTCACTATTAATAAGCCCTAGAAACTATTATATATAGTCCTTAAACCAACTCTGAATAATTAAATAATCTTTAATTATTGTAACTTATTAAATTATAGTTAATGCGAAGTAGTTTTTTATTATTATTATTTATATTAACGCATAAATAACAAATAATAAGAGCGTAAAAATAAGTTTTTCAACATAACCTATAAAACGAGTTTATAACGATCTCCGTGCAGTCAGTTCAGTCAGCAAAGTACATGTAAGTGCGTTGAAATTGATGGGTATACAGGAGTGTTCCTATTATGTTCTTCTCTTTTGATTAGCGGTGTGTTTGCTTGTCGGCTGTCGCCAAACTCTGTGATAACGTAAGCAGATTTGTCGTTCACATTCCTACCACAGCAACTGCATATGTATTTTCGCTTCCTGTATATGCATGGGTATGTGTGTCGTGTGCAGCTGGCGTAGCTGCTGTAGCTCGCTGTATTTCAGCCACAAATCACTCCTGTGACACGATAAATCCACAGCACAAAAACGATTAATGTCCAAAGGAATGTACCATGGATTTGCGATATAAATCAGTAAATCCCTTTAATTAAAAGTTTACGCGAAAACTACGCGCAAAATTATTGCCACTCTCTGTGCGTGTTGGATGTGGGTGAGTATGTATGTATGTGTAAGAGTTCGGTTGGGGTTTGTGTCTGTTCGTACTTTTAACAATTTATTGTATTCTTAGTCGCATAGAAGTACTTTCTAATTTATGCGCTTTTAAAATCATGGGAGCTTGGCGAGTAAAAGTTCTGCGGTTCATTCAATCTAAACTAAATTGACTTAATATTAATATTGTAAGTACGAGTATAAAGTAGAGTGTCGCGTATAGTTTTGTCTGGTGAGAATTTCATTATATATGCTTGTCAAGTCTTAATTAGCCACTCAGTAATTAAAAAATGTGTTATAACAACGCTGACTACATGTGTGTGTGTGTATAATTAGGCGAAGTTATTAGTTGATCTACTCGCAGGTTCAGCTTTCAATGACGCACAAAATATTTATGCCGCTTTTGCCCAGGTTGACACCTTCCAATGCACCTTCATGATGTGTTTTCATATGGATTAAAAATTGTATGATTACATAGAGGAGATTATTGCGGTCATAGGCGCATGTATGGATTTCCTTGTCGCTTATAAAGTTGAAACGTGGCTTCTGCGGATTCGTGCAGAGTATAGCGCAATGTGCTTTATTTTGGACGAGCGCAACGGTTTCCTTTGCAGAGCGCTTCTCTTTGCCCATTATCACATAGCGACTGAAGAAGGGACGACCACCACCTTGTGGTAAAGGCATAAGTTGACTGTCCATGTAAACGCAAAATAGATGGAATAGAATCTGTAAATATTCAGGAAATATTAGTATTTTTCGTATTAGGAATATATGTATGTGAACTTACCGCAGAATCGGTGGGTAGGTGCTCGTCCCATTTCAAACCGTGATAAGCAGCTCCCGAGTTCCAACGGTAGTCCGAGATGCATGAGCCTTCTGCTAAATCCTTAATACGTTGAACCAAATATTCTTGATTGCTAGACATTTCCAAAAAGGGCAGGATCAAAGGTAACATTGGCATGTACTGATTCACAAATTGTTGATTTTCCACTGTTTTCTTAAGTCGTTCCAAACTAATGCCACCCATACGCATATCCGCAAATCCACGATTTTTAAATGACTCATCGATTTTTTTGATTTCTTTTGATAAACGCTCTAAAATAGTTGCAGACATCCACTGAAGAGAAAAATAAAAGGATGTGCGTATGCATAAAATATGCTGAAGGGTTTAACAAAAACTATTTATTACCCTTCTTAAATTGGCTACATATTGTGATAATTTTTCGGATGAGATGCGTCTTATAACTTCTGAGTTACTATCCATGAATTTAAGACCACCGTCTTCAGTAGCTGATTGTTTACTGGGTGTAGCAGGAGCTAAATCAAAAAAATGTTACTTGAAATTTCTTTAATCACAAATCTACATATGCATTCACTTACTCGTCAGTGGGGACAGTTGGTATATGGATGTCTTGAGCATATTAGCTGCCGTGTTACAATAGTTCCAAAAGGAATTCACTGAACCAGTATTATAATGCTGACTCACATCCGCAGTGTCATTCATGCTTTGTTCGTGTATAGAAAACTCTCTAAAATTACAAGTTGTTCATGATAATAGAAAATCCTCTATGAAACGGTTGCACTTACTTTAAATATTGTTTTAGACTCTCTTCGTCAGTTATCAATTCTTCACGTTTGTATTTGGGGTATGACTCAATGAGAGAATTCGTGTTGGTCATAGCACTGTTGTTGGCGCCTATAACCACCGACCGATTGCTCACAGAGTTCCAGGAAGCATTGTGTGGTTGTTGCTGCTGTTGCGGACTAAAGCTGCCGCGAGGTGGTGTTGTGCGACTGTAACTCCAATTGTGAGACAAGCCAGCGCGCGCTGCAAATACAATATTATAATTCAATAAAGTAGCCATAATTGTAGGAATATAAATCTTACAATCATTGAAAGAAGAGTGCCAACTTAACAATGTGTTATTGATTTGATTAGCTGCCAAATCATCGCATGCTTTCTTCTTTCTTTGCAGCGGTGGTGTTACAATAAATGACGAATCTGTAAACAATTAAAATTAGAACAAGTGTTTGTGGAAATAATATCAGACAGCAGTTGAATGGTAATTTTCTTACCGAGCTCATCAAATTTAAGTAGATTTTTCTGTTCTTTGGTTCCCGATATTGGATTTTTACGGAACATATACAGAAAGTATTTGAGGAAACTGGAGAAGGCCCCAAGTCCCGTTAACACAGCCGCAATATACTCTGCATAATACCACTTTGAGTGTGCAAATGGACATCGGTTAGAAATATCAAATAAGAGTATGGCAAGTAGCACTACATTTAGACAACCCCAACGCAAGCTATTCTTCGCTAGTTTTGCGCTCAAATGCATATTGAGACTGAGCTCCACCAATTTGTTTGGCGAACCGCTACAGAGAGAGTGTATTAATAACAAATTACAATTAATTTATATAACATACCAATACTTCTGCAAAGACTGCATCGTTATTATTGTAATTTTTAATTATTTTTAATTGGCAAAACACAATATTCCAAATTATTAAAAATTTGGTGAACTTTTCGCCGGTCCAAACGTTTTTTGCGCCTTTTAGGCCAGCTGTTTTTTTGCAAAGCCGTTGCTTGTACTGTCACCGCTAAGTTCCACAAATCCAAGCGCTACGTGCGACATCTGTGTTTTGAGTACACCGTAGCAAACAATTTGTATTTTTAACAATATATTAACAAACTTCCGTTTAAAACGAAATATAATTTTTCTTAAAAGCGGTGGTAAAGTATTTAAAAACAGTGCAAGAGTTTAAAATAAATTAGAGACATTATTTTTAGAACTTCGCAGCAACCGTGTGTGGAAGGAAACTGCCTCCAAGCAACATGTCGCGTTGGTTTGCGCTTACATTGAAGTTGAAGCAGAGAACATACAAGAATAATGTATGTTCTCTGATATGATTGCAGCCAGATTAGTCCATTTTTCTTGAGATGGTAATTTTCATACTAATGCGGAAATAAATGTACACATATAGGCAAAGCTGCTTTTAATTTCTGGTCCAACAATTCAAAAGATTTTTGACACCCTGTACTAATTTTTAGTTAGGGTTTGTGTATTTGCTAAATTCAAATGCAATATGTTTTTTTAATTTATCCTGAAAGGACGTCAAAGCAACGCAACTAACATATACTTAAGTATTTAATGTACAGAACAATTTAATTGAAGTATATTTGTTTTGGGTTGCTGGCTTGGTACAATTTTCTTTATCACAATGCCAAATTGTTTTTGAGATTTTTGAAGGAATGCAAGATTTGTGTAAAACAATCGATTTTTTTACAGTAAACTTAATTGATTAAGCAGCTTCACTTACCTTTTGATCTACATACAATATATGGTATATAACATAAAATAGTTATGTACCTCATGCCCATTAAATGTGTACCGTTATAAGTACTAAAATATCTTAAATATGAATGTAAATGAATATAACCGATCAGAGATTATAAAGATAATTATATAGTCCGCCGATTTGTTCCATGGCCTCAGCTTTCAATAAATTAAATTATTCAAAATTCGAAATTTAAGTGATATTTTACAATACGCTTTATTTAATACTGTTTAATTTGTCTTTGTAATTAATACATAAAACCAGACTTAATTGACTGGAATTGTTGGCTGCACTTCACATCCACTTTTACCTCAGTGAGTCTGTCTTCATGCACGAAATTGCTTTTAAGTGGGGGAGAAAATCTTAAATACTCGTTTCGAAGCATATAAATATAAATTAAGAGAACTATACACAGTTACATACAATATACATACACAGAACATTTAAGGCTTTCATACATTTTTGGTATTAAAAATTTCAAATAGAAAACCGGATTGAGATTGCCATTGTAAATGCTGTTCATGGGTTTCTTTAATACTTTTCATCAAATTTTTGCACATAAAAGTGTTGCATCCTAATTGGTACCTGCATTTATAAATTGTTGCAAATATATATATGTATATATTTGTGTGTATGTGTGTGAATGTATGTATATTTAGATGCTCATAGTTGACCGTATTTTACATTTACATACATAGCTCCCGTCACATTACTTACATATTATTACACGAGATATTTAATTAATTATTTTTACACACATATAAAGAAGTAAGGTAAAATGTACAATAGGCAAATTTGATTACATAATATGACTTTGTATACATTTGTTGCGTTTTTTCATATTTTATGTGAATTAGTTATAGATTGTTGTTGTTGGGTTTCATCTTGTATTACTGATCGCCGTTAAACACATATTAGCTGCACATTCTGTTGAAGGGTTTCCATCGAAATCGAGCAGGTTTCAGTCGCATTGCTTTAGTTTAAGGCGCGCTTGCCCCAACCGCCATGCAACTTCACCCAATCCTTGGATGAGCGTTTGCCCCACATGCCCTTGAGATTGTTCCAGCCGGGCTCGCGCTTGCCCCATGCACCTGGAAAGTTCCCAGAATTAATTCAATCATAGCAATAATTCAGGACCAGCAATGATCAAGAACTCACCACGGAATTTGTTCCAAGTAGGCGCGTTGCGGCGCTTGCCCCAGGCAGCATTCATTTTATTCCAAGCGCGTTTCTCACTCAGCGGAGTGTTGTTGTCGTCATTGTTGTTGCCGTACCCCTCAATATCTTCCATAGACGTAACCAGGTCATCGTTTATTCTCAGCCCACTCTGTTCGTCTTGTCTGTCGTTCAACAAGCGATCGAGTGTGCCGGCGTTGGTCAGGTACATCATGGAGAACTTCAAGAAGGGTTCGTCGCGTTCGCCATTACTGATCAGCAGCGGTACCAAACGTTCGTCGTCCTCTGACTCGTTCATTTCAGGCAACGTTGGCCCAGCGTAGTGTGCGCGCTTACCCCATGGACCTTGCAGCGCCTGCCAATTGCGTTTGTCTTCGTTGGCGGCAGGCAGCGCGACGCCTGTGACCGCCTCTTCGCCGAGTACTCCAGCCAATTTCATATTCACAGCGGCGATTATGAGCAAGGCGTGGAAAATGGTCGTGAGGCATTTATACCTGGACTGCCGTTCACTGGTTGGATAATGCATCTTGGCTTTGAAAAGTGTTGTTGTAACTAGAAAAGGAATAAAGCAGTAAAAGAGGTCGTCTGATTAATCATTCGCTGTATATTGTATGCGATAAATAATAGGAATGATGCATTACAATGCGCTGTAGTTTCTTTGTGAATGTGTGAGTGACTCAACATCAAAAACTAAATTCGCTCGGTTACTTAACGACTCAGTGCAACATATGCGTTAATTATCGTTAACAATTACACTCTTCATTTGCCTTATGTTAAATGGCGGTACTTCTCCTTTTCAAAGCCACTTCACCCGTCAGCCACACGCTCAACCCAAATTGTAATCTCACGCACACACATACACACTGGCGCTCTCATTCATTGAGGAACAATTTCTTGACACATTTTTACATACAAACATTCGAAATATTTTGCACAGTGTTTTTTTCTGGAGCGAAAATCAAAGCACGCCATGTTCAATACTATCTTCTATAAGAGATAAGGGCAGCGAACTCACCGATTTATATATATTTATTTCTTCCACATATTTTGTTGATATTTAACGCCTATGACCCATTAGGAGTGAAAGAATATTAAAAAGCCGGAAAAATTACATTGATTTTAGCAAAGAATGTTGAATTCCAACAACTTCCATCTTTCTATGAGAAAATGTGAGTAGGCTTCCATCTATCCGAAAAGCTTTGCAGACCCTGTATTCTATATGGTATATTAGATTACACAGCACTCTTACTAAGTTGCTGGACACTGTGCCAAAGTGGCTAAAATTGAGAAGGTGGACAAAACTCAAAGAAAATATACGACCAAATATAGGAACTCACACGCGCACACACACATGTACATGGATTTGTAGGAGCTCAAGTACTGTGTATGAACGAGCAATTTTAATTGCTCACGCATATGCAACATAAATAGATATATACATGCACACGTATTGCCACTCGACTTCGCTCCCGGTTTGGTGTATGCGCCCAGGGGCATGCGATCATGGCTAAAAGGTATAATAACAGTTAGAAATTATGACCCCATAATGCTTAAACGGCAACGCTGTGACAGTGTGTGCATGTGTGTGTGTTGGAGGGTACATGCAGTACGGGCGACGAGTGCGCAGATTTCCCCAAAGCCAAAATTGGAGTACCGAAAATATGCCGAAAGCAACATGAACGCTAACAAAACCGATTTGCCTCTTCAGGCAGTCAAGTGGTTGACGCAGAGCAGAGAGGGCATTTGTTCATTCATTTGTTACTTTGTGACGCGTGAAAAACCGTTTGTGTGTTTTAGCTGTTCGCAGTTGTTTATGCAGCGCCACTTGAGTGCCAAGGTGATTACATAAATACCAACATCATGGCATTGCTAAGTGGTGAATAGGCGCAAATTGACAAGCGTATTTGGTTATAACAGCAAATCATCATCAGCTGAAAGCCCAAGCCATACACACACACACTCACAAGTACACTGTGCGACGCCCACACCTTTTGGGAAATAAAATAAGATAAATGTTCCACCTTTGCGCTTTTCAGCCGCAAATAGGCGAGCTTAAAGGGCACTGGACAGAGCACAGTCAAGAGTCAAATGTCGAAAAAGTTCTCATTTGAATGAAAAAAACCGATTCCTTGCGGGATTACACAATCAAGTGCTCGTCACTTTCACTAGCTCATCGGCAACGCATTCATCATACGCCCTGTTGAGCTTTTGGGCGGCGTGCAGCGCGCGGCGTTCTTGCAGGCGGCCAGTTGTACTTCAGCTCATTATATTGTATATTTAGGCATACATGTATATGTATGTGTGTGTAAGGGTGTGTAAGCGTGTGTGTGAGCTAATGTTCGCTTTATAAAGCCTGTCAGACCGTGACCACAACGCAATCTTTCATTCTGTGCTCATCTCTTTCTCGATTTTCTGTCGTGACCGTTGTGAACAGTCGTGTGTGAAGGCACATGTGCACTCTGTAATTTGCTGCTTGGGCACTGCTCACACATCACAGCAATCTCGAGTTTTGACTTAAATCACTTACGATCATATGGCACTCCCGGACATTGGGGTCACATGGGAGCGAACGCTTGTTCATATATTTATCTAATACGACCGATTTAATAATTAGTGGTTGATAAAGTAACAGAGATATGAATCAAGCCAGGAGATTTCTGTTAGTTACTGGAGCGAGTCATTGGACTAAAACCAAGCTTAGTAAGAATTTGCATTAGTCGAATAATAAATAATCTCTTCTTCCGAAGATGAGTAGGTCAATAGGGCAACATGAATGTAGTTTTTACAAAGATGTTTTTCTCTCATTTTTTTTATTAAAAGGTTTTTTGTTGTCTTCGAAAAAACCAGTAAGGGAGAACTAAGTTCGAGTGTAACCGAACGTTTCAAACTCTTGCAACTTGCAGGGCACAAAGGTGGAGGAACATCTTCAGGTTTTGGCCAAACTTTATATCAAACTAAGTTCGGTTGCAGCGAAGCTATAGTACCCTTCACAAAAAAATATTTCCATGCAAGAAGATGATTTTGGTCATCAGTTTGTATAGCAGCTACTTATATGCTAGAATAGTCCGATCTGAACAATTTGTTCGGAGACTTTACAGTTGCCTTGCCGCAGCATGGCTAAATCGACTCATTTATATACTTGTAAATATATTTTGTGGGATCTTCGAAGTTTCCTTCTGGGTGTTACAAAGTTCGTGGAAAACTTAAGGTACTCTATTTAGGTTAAAAAAAATTACAACAACTATAAGCAGCAAAATACAGGAAAAACACGTGGAAGAAAATAAGCGCGATGGGAAAAGAACACCCACACATCTCTCATAAGCGTTCGATCGTGCTTCTCGGTCATATTCGTGATGTTTATCGTAAAGTTGTTTGTTATTGTTTTAACCGTTACCTTAGCGAACAAAGAACATTAGTTGTTAGTTGCAGGGGAATGGCACGAAGCCATACATAAAACTGTTATTGTATTACTTCTAAAAAAACATACGAGTACACAAGAACATATATCAGGGTATTTATGTAGGTGTATATATCTATGTATGAGCGATGAAAATGGTTAATACAAATTTGATTAAACAGTCAAAGTACACTCACGCTCATTCCACACGTATTCCAATCGATTTCGATAATATTTATTTACATACAACATATATATATATACAGTTATGCTTATATTTTACTATAACTGTAATACAAGTAAATAAGCCATTTGTTATTTTCATAAATATTCTAAGTGCCTGGATTAAAGTAACCGAATTGGCAGCAGAATTGATAGCAATCGTTCCTGTAAATACATACAAATATACACACTAGGTATACATATGAACTTATACTATATATACTACATACAAGTATATATAGTCTTACTGCTTGGAGAGGCACTTAAGCAAGCCGAGCGCTGATCGACTTTGGTATTTATGCATAACACGATTTATGGTATGCGCGCCTAAAAATGCCAATAAAAGGAGGGAAACGAGAGTGTAATCATCGAAAGCACTTTTACAGCATAATTTCAATGCAAAATTGCAAAATTATGACGATTCAAATGGCGAAATGGCGAAAGTGAAATTATCTCAGCGGGAGAGTAAAGATGAGTGCTAGAAAGAGTTTGTGCACACTGTGTGGTACAGTCAGATGTATTATTATTGGGTCGGGAAAGAGTGTTAAAAAGTCTTCGGTAAAATTGATCGACATAAATTTTGAAGCCTTGAATTTATTTTAAAATCCCCGCGAGTTATGTCTGCATATAAAAGCTAATCTTTATATTATTTCTGTAATATTATACGCCCCTTTGCTAATTGAAGGTGAAAAAACACCATTTCATTATACATCAACATTATTAAACGAGGGAGATATTTTTGGCACGATACCAGAGTTCATTTGCTTTGGAGCTTACTGTATGCATGGCATTATATGGAAAATGCAATAATAGCAGCGCGACTGCACTCACACGTTCCTGTTATTGCGCGTAAAAAAGTAATGCCTCGTCAATATTGTTGATATTATTGCGGCAGTTTTTAATATTCCCATCTACTTATACTTCTACTTGAGCAAAAATAGAAAATAAAAGTGCAACAAATTTATATAAACGAGCGAAAGTTCCTTTGAATTCACGCTCCTTTAAGCAAACTGCGCATAAATTAGTTTATTTAGATCATTAAAACGTATTTCAGATTTTTCGAAATCGAAAATCTGATTACTTCTAGTGTAGTGTTTCGAAAGTCCAATTTTATTAGACGCGCAAATATTCTTAATTTCGAGATATGTTAATTGCCCACAAATTCTTTTCTTTCATCTCTATTGATAAATTGTTAAAAATCATATAATTGTGAAAGAAATATACACATCACCCTCAGTTACAAGCTTCTTGTTGGCTGCGCCTATATTATTATGCCATAGATGTAAAATTAGGACATGCTTAATATTATGACCATTAGATCGTTAAATATTTATGTGCATTACTGACGAACACGCGGACTTTAGTACTTTTGGAGCCCACAGAATAAAATACACAAAATAAAGAGTGAGAAAAAATTTGCCTAATATTAAAAACAAGTATATATGTTTCGAAATTTGTTCAAAAAAATGCAAAGATAAGCAAATGTTTCTATATGAATATTTTATAAATAATACAAAATTTTAGGGCTCTATAGTGTAGATCAATATCAATCACTTTATGATGTGGCAAAACGAGGCAGCGGTAAATGGAGGTAGCAAAATCGTCTTTTGATGCTTTTAAATAAATGTATGATGATTGCGTAGTAGTAAAGTGAAACACTCGAAAATTCTTACATATACGAGTATTCTCAATACTGCGCAAACTAATTTAGGAACATCGAACAAACACAAATACCCGAGCTATTTTGCATCCTTTGCATTTCGATATTGTGAAGTTTATCCAAGCCATATTCTGCAGAGAAATGGTTAAATAATTTTTGAAACTAATTGTTGCTTAAATAAACACGTCATCCACTTAAATAAATCGACTTTTCAATGGCCAAAACGCGCTTGCTAAACTCAACTCTTTCCAAACTCATCCCAACGCGCGCTTT